AGGGTTTTGAAGTGATTTATATAGCTGATTTGTATGATTTCATGATTTTATTTGAGATTGAACTTGTAGAAATTGATGAATTTTGCAGTGCACAGTTGCAAAAAATAAAAATAAAATTTTCAAAAAATTGTCAAAAGGCCAAAAGGGCTTATAAAAATTTACTTATTTACGTGTGTGAATTTCAAAAATAAATAACAAAAAATAACGAGAATTTTTAAAATTAAATAAATTTTTCCGCACGGTGCGGCCAAATAAAATCTCGTTTAACTGAGCCACACGATAAAGGCTACATGGAAAAATTGCGTTAAGCGCCTTAATTGAGGAAAAATGAGTGGGGAATTTTTGTTTTTGGATTAGGGAGGTCTATGGTGGTGTAGCCGGTCTTGAACAGTCCCACGAATACCTCTGTAGAGGCGACGATCATCTGGATTGTAATCCAGGGCGTTGTGGAGTGCCCTGTTAGTGATCGCCTCTGCTCTATCCAGCATGACGTTGGCTAGGGAGTATATATGTGTTGTGAGCTCTGGTACATTGAGTTCATCCCTAAGCTGCAAATTTCTAACCGAGCCTTAGTTATGGTTCGCAGGAACTTGTTTTGTTGTATTTTAAGCAGGTTGAGGTGGGTTTTTGCAGCTATTGCCCAGGCTGCGCAGGCGTAAGTGATAATGGGCCTAATGATTGCTATCCAAACTGTGCGCTTGTTTTTGAGACTTAGGAAGTTGCCGATGTATAATGGCCTAAGCGTTTGGGTAATGCCTCTGAGTTTGGCCAGCGTAGCGTCTATGTGCCTCTTCCAAGTTAGCTTCTCATCTAGTATGACTCCCAGATGGCTGATTGGCTGACTGGGCCCAGGGGATATCTTGGTTGCCATATCTTAGGTTTGCTGGCAGCGCACCTCCTTTTCTGAAGAGAATAGCCTGAGTTTTCTCTGAATTTATTCTAACCCTGTATCTGTCGGCCCAGGGCTTGACTCTGTCCAGTGCCTTTTGGAGTTTGCTGACGATTAGATCAGGGTTAGAACTTTTATAAAGGAGGGCAGTGTCGTCAGCGTACATTGCTGTCAGGACTCCTGGGGTGCGCGGAAGGTCAGCCAAGTAAAGGTTAAAAAGCGTGGGTCCAAGTACCGATCCTTGTGGGTTGTCCTGCCCGACAGGTGCGATGCTATTAGCTTGACTAGAGGTGGTGAGATTTCCATGTTTATAAGCTTGATCAGCAATCCAACATGCCACACTCTGTCGAACGCTTTGCTGATGTCTAATAGCACCATACCTGTTTTTAGCTTAAAGTCGAAGCCGTGAGAGATTGTTTCCGCTATTCTGGTGATTTGCAGCTCGGTGGACAGTTGTGGCCTGAAGCCGAATTGGTCATCTGGGAGGAGATTTTTCATCTCAATTTCCTCATCAATTCTGACCTTGATGGCTTTCTCTAGAAGTTTGGCAAGTGAGGGCAAGAGGGAGATAGGCCTGAAGTTTTCAGGGTGTCGCCTGGCCTTTTTCTTTTTGGGGAGCAAGATGACTTGGGCCTTTTTCCAGAAGAGGGGAAATTTGAGGTGTGTAGAACGCCATTCACCAGGGCTGTTAGGTTACTAATCGTAGCTCTGGGTAGATGTTTAAGGGCCAGGTTGGTGATTTTATCCTCTCCGGGAGCGACTTTGTTTCGAGGCGATTGAATGATGGATGTGATCAGGTCAAAGGAGATTGGCCTGATGGTTTCCGGGTAATCATCGGCTAAAAATTCATCTACGAAGTCCTCCATTCTATAGTCCTCCTCTTCGTGCCTTGGTAGGGGGGGATTGTCAGTGAATTGTGATCCAAGGACTTCAGCGAAACAGTCAGCCTTCTCCTGGTATGTGTAGAGGAGACCGTTTGGACCCTGGAGGGGGTGATTTTGAGGTGGCTCTTGGTTTTTTAGACCCCTGATGATTCTCCAAATGTCGTTGCTTTTTGCGGGGTCCAGGTTTTGGAGAGTATGGCCCCTCCGGGCGTTTCTATGATTGGCCAGCGCCGTTTTTACTCGGCTTGCCAGGCCGTTGTATATTCTCCTGTCCGCCGGGTTTAGGGTTCGTTCAGCCCTCTTTTTGGCCTGTCTTTTTTCCCTGATTAGAATTTTCGTGTCCTGCGAGATGTCGTAATGGCACATTTTCGGGACTGTTTTCGTGAAAGTGGCCTGCTGGAGTGCTGCGTGTATTTGCTGGGAAATTTGTGTGGCAAGGGCATCTACCATTTCAGGCGACGTAGGGGTGGGTGTTAGAGCTTCGTTGGCCGACAAGAGGCGGTGGTAAGTGTACCAGCTTGTTTTTGCGATTTTTATCACTTGGTTATTTGCATGGAGGGGGCCTAGGTGGAATTTGACGGGGCTGTGGTCTGAGGTGGAGCCGGTGAGTGTGAGGGCGGTGGCTTCCAGCGGGTAGTTTTTTAGCCAAGCAGTTTAATTTGTCTTATTTCAAAAGTTATACCTACATACATACATACATACCTGTATATATACAGGTATGTATGTATGTTAGGTGCCCTCTAGACAATAAACCCTTTGTTTAGTGTTTACTAGTGTTATCAGTGATATTAGATATTAGATATTCTTTTTCATGTTTTATTTCTATTTTAAGAACTTTGTTATTTTATAATATAATAAGCTATTATTTTACAGCAGATGCCAAATGTCTGGATTATTAGTAATCCTGGCGTTTGCTGACATAAAGACATTTTTCCCTACTCTTACCTATTTTGTTGATAGTATATAAATAGGAGAGACCGTATTTTTAATATTCATTCATTCGATTATAAGATTATTAGATTCATTCATTATATTATAATTTTAATGGTTTTATATGAAAAATAATTACAATTCAACACTTGTTATATCGTGTGATCAATAAAGTTTGCCCAGTAACCAACAAACCTTTTTAAAAAGGCCAACTTCATATCATTGATATAACAAATTTGGCGCAGTCGGTAGGATAGAAAAAAAGAAAACCGAAGAAAAAAGAAGCTCCTAAAGAAAAAGAAGTTCCCAAATAAAAAATAAGTGACAGAAAAATAAGAAGTAAGAAATAAGAAACTACCTCGTCTATAGGAAAAAGAAAGAAGAAGTCAGTACTACTATAAAATTGGAGGAAATCCAAAGAAGTTTAAGAAATTAAAATAGCCCTTTAATTTCAATTTGCCGCATATACGAAATAAATGTAAGTGAAGTTCTTTTATTGTTAGACAAAGCTTTTATATATTTAGTAATATAATTTTTAATAACGATATTAAAATTTATTATTTTTATTGGTGCTATTGAATTAATATTTCTTAATAATTAATATAATATTTAAATGAGGTATATAAAATGGCTGAAAATGATGTTGTTCAGGAAAATTTCCCATTATACAAATTAACTGAATTATTCGCATTGATTCCGAAGTACGATGGAGATCAATTAACTTTTGTTTCATCTTGTAATACAGCTTTTTAAATTTGTACAGAAGAACAAGCTGTTCTGTTGACTGTTCACATTAAAAATAAATTAAAAAATAAAGCTTCTCAGGTGGTGAATTCAAAATTCCTAACCACTTGGAATAATATTAAAGACACATTACTTGAAAATTTCGGAGACACAAGAAATCTAACTAGTTTAGTTCATGACTTACAGACCTTAAAACAAAATAAAGAAACTCCAATGCATTTTGTTACACGAGTACAGGGATTAAGGTAGTTGTCGTGCTGTAAGCATACCATCAGAAACTTTTAAATTTTTGTATACATATTAAGGACATGACAATACAATTATCCTTAAAATTTGAAGTCGATTGACCGTCTATAACCCGAGATAAATTCAATTAAAAATTGGATAATTAACATGGATTGTATAGGCTTTCTGTAGTTCTGTACCAGTTTCTTAGTTATAAAAAAAAACTAACTGTCAGAAGCTTTCAAAAAACTAACAGTCTTTTAATGTATTTTTGCTGAGTTTAAAAAAAATAATTAAACATTTTTGACCGTCCAATTGTTTATAAATAACCGTTTAAAGTTCAACAATTTGTAAAAAGTATACATCACTAGTGTCAGATAAAAACAACTTGGCAACGCTGTACGCGAGTATAGATATTATTTCCAGGGACTAGGAGTAGTATTTAAACTCATTTTTAGTTTCGATCCCTGAGCGAGTTAAATTCGGTCAAACCAGTTTGAATCAATCGGTGATGCGAACAGTCGAGACGGCAGCGAGATTTAATCTGAGCGATATTTAAACGCCTTAAAATAATTTCGATCTGCTCACGAGTTATATTCTCCGATGTATAGAAAGTTTTGATACTTTAGTGATTAAATCATATCAGATCATATTGGGATTAAATCCCAACGAGATCGGTAAGGATTTAATCTTTTTAAGAGTTTTAACTTAAAACTTTTAAGTTTACTCTTGGGCACAATGTGTGGATTGTGCGCTTGGGCATGTATTAAAAATAGTTTTACTTTTTTAATTAGACTAATTATTAGAGAACAGTAATTTAAACATTTAAAGTAAAAAAAATTTAACAAAGAAATTTTAAAATTAACAATATAAGATAATTTTTTTACTAAAAAGTTGTTAATAATTGGTAATTAATAATTACTTATTATTAATAATTATTGATTATTATTAACTTTTTAGTAAAACATTTGTATAGATTTTTCGATATTTTTATATTGTTAATTAATAAACATGGCAAGATGGGCATTTATAAAAAGGTCTTGATAATTGCAATTAAAAAAATTATATTATTTCCCCCAATTTAATAAGTTTCTATATTTCAAAATTAACTTGTCAAGATGGGTATCTATAAAAAGGTCTTAAAATTTTCAATTTAAAAATATATAATAATAACCCCCTGCCTGCCCCCTTTCTTAAAAAAATTATATTGCAAAATTAATCTGACAACATTGGTAATTACAAAAATGTCTTAATAATAACAATTTAAAAAATATTATTAATTACCTACCCCCTTCCTCCCCCTAATTTTTAAAATTTATAATAAAAAGGTGTTAGTTTAACCGAAAACAACTGGGCGGATATAGAATCCCTATTGGAAGCATTGCAACCAGCAAAAATATCGGCCAAGAAATTGCAGTCTGACCAGCTGCTTATGACTGATTTTTATTGCGCATGGTTATTGTGCATAGAAAAGACTGAGGAAATAGATTCGACATTGGCCAAAAATATAGTCAAATGTATGAAAACAAGGGAAACAAAACTGTTGGATAATGAAAGTTTTTTATCTAGTGTATTTTTGGACCCCCTCCTCAACGGTTTGCTGGATGAGAGTCAACAAGCAATAGCCAAAAAGAATTTATGTGCAATTTGGTACAGGTTAAACCAGTTCACTGAAAACCAAACTCAAAGGGAATCAGAAGCAGAATCAGAAGAAATAATGAAGAAACTAAGGTAGCCTTAAAAATAACAGCGGCGCTCGGAAAGAAAAAAAAGAAGGCACGATTGGAAAAAATAACATTAAGGGATATAATGGCAATGTTAGAAAATTTTTATTTGGAGTGTGAACGAAAGGAAACAGATTCTCTTCTTAACTTTTGGAATCAAATAAGTTTTTAATGCCTGAGTTATATAAGGTTACTTTGATTGCCCTGGCTACACCAGCCACACAAGTTAGCGTGGAAAGACTATTTTCTGGCCTAAAATATATATATTCAGACTTAACCCCTTACTGCATACTGTGCCATATTTGGCACACATTAAATTAATTATTTTTTCAACAAACATTTCATGTCGCGAATGCAATCTGTTCCGAATTCGGCACGCTCGCTTCTGTATGTTCGCAAATATATAACGCCATCTAGAGCGTTCTGTTTAAAGTTGTTTCAGTTTTCGTTCAACAACCTCAATCACCTGTTTATTTAGGTTTTTTATGAAGTTCGGGAGCCTGTATAAATTTGAAAATTCAAGATATAGTGAATATAAAAATACCTTCATAGTGGTAAGTGTATATATTTACTAATAACATAAAAAATAAATTTAGTAGTCCTAGTACCCAGTTACCAGTGCCTTGTTTACTTGTGCTATATTTGGCACAGTTTGCGGTAAGTTTGGCTAAATTTGATTTTTATTGTAGATGGATCCAAAACAGTTTTATGGCACACATAAAACAAATAAAATTCCTGATTTAGATGGCAGTGAAGATGAAAATTTATCTGATGAAGATGATTACCGAAAGATGACAAAGTTTTCTAAAGTATTAGTCACAGAATCTAGCGACGAAGAACATTCCAATGGCAGTGCAGATGATATAATTGACGATACGGATAATTTCGATAGTGAGGATGACAATAACCATTCCACCCTAGTTGCAGCAAGTAAAAAAAAATAAGAATAAAACCAAAACTCACCTGGATTGGCAAGAAAAATATTTGAATATTCCTGAAGAAGATACCCTATTCAAAGGATCTGAGAAATTATCAGATGATATTTTGAATTTTGATAGTATTTATCAGTTTTTTAAGTTCTTCTTTACAGATGAAATACTCAAATACATAACTGAGCAAACTAATTTATTTGGTGTTCAATGCAGGCCAGATAAGCCACCAAATATATCAGAAGAGGAGATAAATGTGTTTATTGGTATCTCTATTTATGTCTGTAGTGCATTTACCCTCAACCAGAAGCTAAATATTCCTGCAATATCTCAGGCAATGCCTTGCAATAGGTTTGAAGAAATCAAACGTTTTCTTCATTTTAATGACAATGCAAATCAAAAGAAACGCGGGGAGCCTGGTTATGACAAGCTATTCAAAATCCGTCCCTTTCTGGATAAAATAAGAGAAAGACATTTACTTGTTCCAAAAGAAGAACACCTTGCTATAGATGAACAAATAATCCCAACAAAATCAAGATCAACTTTGAAGCAGTACAACCCTAAAAAGCCTCATAAATGGGGTTATAAAGTTTTTGTACTGAGTGGCGTATCCGGCTTCAGTTACGATTTTGACTTTTTTTCTGGGCCAACAGAATTGCTACCTCATCAACCTGATTTAGGAGCAAGCAGTAACGTGGTAGTAAAACTAACTGAATCACTGCCAAGACATCAAAATTATAAAGTATTTTTTGACAATTGGTTTACTAGCATTCCATTATTGGTTTATCTAAACGAAGAGGGAATTTTGCCTCTTGGTACAGTTCGAAAAAATCGTGTAAGAGATTGTAAATTTCCTAAGGAATCTGAAATGAAAAAAAAGGGCAGGGGTTCAATTATTGAAAAAGTTGCCAAAGTTGACGGAGTTGATGTATCTGTTGTTTCTTGGTTTGACAATAAAATAGTCACTACGGTCTCAACTTACCTCGGTAGTCAGCCGATTTCTGACGTACTTTTGTAGAAAAGAAAAAAAGCACATACAAATTCCACGTCCCAAATGTATACAGATATACAATAGTTATATGGGTGGTGTTGATCTATTGAATTCAATGTTGGGATACCACAGGATACTTATTATATCAAAAAAATTTTATATGATTTCCTAGACATGCTATGTTGTAATAGTTGGATATTGTGGAGAAGAACTCTTAGTTATAAAAATAAGGGAGATTTTGATAATATGTACCTGCCACTGTCTGAATTCAAGTTGGGATTGGCAGAAATTCTTACTAGAGCTAATACGACATCTAAAAAGCGTGGTAGACCTAGTCATTCTTTACAGCCGCAATTAGAATTGAAGAAGAAGAAATATCCGTTTTCGCAGATACCTGCTCAAGAGATTCGTACAGATAATATGGGTCACTTTCCACTTTGGCACGATGTTCGTCAACGATGCAAGTATCCCGAATGCAAAGGAAAGTCACAAGTGTCATGTGATAAATGTAATGTTACATTATGCCTAAACAAAGAAAGAAACTGTTTTAGACGTTTCCATTTAGAGTATCTGTAGCATTTAGAGTAGCTGTAGCATTTCAAATACTTATTTATATACTTAATTAGTTTTCCAATGATTGTGTGCGATTTCTAATAAATATTTTGAATACAAAACTACCAAATCCAGTTTTTTCTTTCTTTAGGTGTAAATTGTGACAATTTTGGCACATGTTAATAAATTGGCAGATTTGGACAAAATATTTCAGATTTATTTTTTTGATTATTTTTCCTGAATTCAGATTTGCATAAACTATTATGAACAATTTTTTTTTCAAAAACAAAAAAATCATGCGGTAAGGGGTTAAGGGCAAATTTGCGAGAGGATTTATTGAACGCAATCATGATAGTTCGCACCAATTACAAAGAATTTTCAAAAAATTAATTCTATTTTTCTATGTTAAAATGTATTTTTGAGTTTTTTATTATAACATGTTTTAAAATGAAGTGTTTTATTGTTTCTAATTAAAAAAAAAAAATGCTTTTTAAAACTTATGGTAGATAGCTTGAAAGAAAATTATATAAAATATCTAAATAAAAGCTTTAGAAATCCACTAAGATCAGGTGAAACATACGGTATTTATCGATCTACCATAAAGTTTTAAATTTCATTTTTTTTTATTGTATATTCCATATACTTAGTGTAATTCTATATTTTTATACAAAGACGGAAAAATTTAGATAATACCATTAATTCCTTGAAATCGCTTCAAACTAAAATGGAAAACAATAAAAACTGATTTTGTCCCTTACTACCAAATTTTTTAGATGAAACTTTATTGCTTCTGGCATAATACGTATTATATTAGTGCTATAAAAAATTTAATTAAACCGCACACATAGCAGCTGCTTGGACAAGTAAGTTAGGTTATGTAGTTTTAAAACTAATCAGTTAAAATTAAATTAATTTAACTTTGTAAAAATCTATGGTTTTTAAGGTATTAATGGTACTTAAACATATTTAATTTTTATTAAGAGAAAAAAAATCGTTTTACAAAAACAAAACCAGTAAAACAAAACTTAGATTAACATATATTTATAAGACCTAAAAAAGTTCAAATCAATTACTTTAAATATCAGCTTAAAAAACCAAATGATTTGATACAATCATTTGTCCAATACACGGTATATATTTATAAATTAAAAAGGAAGTTATTATATTTTTTTAAATACAAATATCAAGACCTGATTATAACCCAAGCCATTTTGTTTTATTAATTTAACAATATAAAATTTTATAAATTGGGGGGCAGAAAGGGATAATTAATAAAAAAATTTAAATTGTAATTATTAAGATCTTTTTATAGATACCCATAATGCCATGTTAACTTTGCATTATAAAAATGTAATAAATTAGTGTGCACAAGGGAGCTAATTTATAGAATTCTTTAAATTGTAATTTTTAACATCATTTTAAAGAATAAGGGGGGTTATTAATATAATTGTTCAAATTGTAACCTTTTTATAGATACCTATCTTACCATTTTAACTTTGCAATATAAAAATGTAATAAATTAGGGGGTAAAAAGGGGGGTAATTAATATAATTTTTTAAATTGTAATTTTTAACACCATTTTATAGACACCCACCTTGCCACGTTAGTACTATAATATAAAAGTTGATTAAATAAAGGGGGAAAGAGGGGATAATTAATATAATTTTTAAATCGTAATTATTAGGACCTTTTTATAGATACTAATCATGCCATGTTAACTTTGCAATTTAATAATGTAATAAATTAGGGGGCAGAAGGGGGGTAGTTACTATAATTTTTTTTAATTGTAATTTTTAACACCATTTCATAGATACCCATCTTGCCACGTTCATTCTTCAGAATAAAAGTTTAATAAATAAAGTGGGACGGAAGGAGTAATTAATATAATTTTTTAAATTGTAATTATTAAGACCTTTTTATAGATACCCATCATGCCATATTAACTTTGCAATTTAATAATGTAATAAATTAGGGAGCAGAAGGGGGTAATTAATATAATTTTTTAAATTGTAATTTTTAAGACCTCTTTATAGATACCCATCAGGCCATGTTAACTTTGAAATATAAAAATTAATAAATTAGGGGGCAGAAGGGGGGTAGTTAATATAATTTTTTTAATTGTAATTTTTAACACCATTTTATAGATACCCATCTTGCCACGTCAATTCTTCAATAAAAAAGTTTAATAAATAAGGGGGAAAGGAGGGGGTAATTAATACAATTTTTTAAATTGTAATTATTAAGACCTTTTTATAGATACCCATTATTCTATGTTAACTTTGCAATATAAAAATGTAATAAATTAGGGGACAGAAGGGGGGTAATTAATATATTTTTTTAAATTGTAATTTTTAACACCATTTCATATATGCATAGATACCCATCTTGCCACGTTAATTCTTTAGAAAAAAAGTTTAATAAATTATCGGGGAAGAAGGGGGTAATTAATATAATTTTTTAAATTGTAATTATTAAGACCTTTTTATAGATACCCATCTTGCTAGGTTTATTTGCAATAATAACATTAATAAATAGGGTG